CCGCGGGCGCCAGGCCCTAGGTGCCTCGCCGCGCAATCTCACGCTGGGAATGATTTGCAGCTTGCCAAGTTTGCTTGTTCAGGGCGCCCGCCAGAGCGGGCGGCGCCACGCGCCCGACGTAGAGCGCGCCGCCCTGCCGCCGATGAAGCGCTGCTCGTTTGCGCGACGCAGTGCGCGACTTAGCCGCGCTGTGTCTCGCGCGGCAGCGGCGACGGCGACGACGAACCTCGCGCCGTCAGCGCGCGATTAGAGTTCAAGCGCAGCCCGCCCGGCCGCTTTCATTGCATGTGCTTTGAAATCAACGCGCGCGCACGCGCGCATATATACAGGTATAAATTATCATATGTGTGTATATATATACATGTATATATACACATGTATTTATTCATGTATGCATATACACATGCGCGCAGAAGTACGCATTCCCCAAACAGTGCTTGCAATTAGGGCGGTTCGTTTCTTTCCTAAGGAACTGGGCTCCGTTGTCGGGTCCGCCGCCCTGCGGTCGCCGTCGCCGCTTCGTCGCCGCCTGGCGTCTGGCCCCGTTGTCGGGCCCGCCGCCTCGCGGTCGCCGCCGCCGCCCCGCCACCTCGCGCGCGTGGGCGACCGCGGCGGCGCCGCGCACGTCGCGCCCAGACGCGCCCGCTCCACCCGCCCGCCCAACCCGCCGTCGTTTGCCAGCGACGAGTTCTGGCGGGGGGGTCCAACAGGTTTCGTTGCTTCGCCAGCTCGATGCGCCCCCTGGAAGGAATCCAAGGCCTGCGAACTTGCAGCCCGCCTGCTCGCGCGACGTGGCATGTCGTTCCCCTTGCGCGTGGATTCGGCTTCCCCGCTTTAGCTACCGAACAATCGCTCTCGCGGCCAGCGCGCGCCGCGCGCGCGGGCTTCTCGCGCTTGGAGCGAGCGGCCCGCGCGCGCTTTTGCCGCTTGCCGCCAGAGGGTTGGGATCTCCATCTCTCCGAGGCGCGCTGCTCGCCGGGTCCGCCCGCGTCGCCGCGGCGCGCGAGGGGGGCTCGGGTGCTCGCCGCGGCGAGCTCGCGGCCAGAGTGAATCGCCAAGCCGCGACGCTGGCCGCCGATGGGCGTGATGTGCGCTCCGCTGCAGCATTCTGTCTGCGCGCTAGCATGTCTCGCGATTGCGGCGTCGACGGCGCCGCCGCGCACTGCGGTCGCGCGTTGGCTCGCTGGCCCGCGCGCGCGCGCGACGCGACTCGCGCGTTGCCCGGCGGCCCTGGCGCAGGGCGAGCGCCGCGGCGCCGCCTCGGAGGATGTCCGCGCGGCGAATGGGCTCGCAGAGCTGCTTCACGCGGCGGGGAAGGGGGGGTGACCGTCTGCGCGCGCCTGGGCGAGCGGGCGCGCAGCCGCGGAATCAGGCCTTCCCAGACGCCCCAGATGCGTCAATCCGCGTTAGCGCCGAGATTGGCATGGAGCGCGCAGCAGCGAAAGAAAAAGTGACCTTGCGCGAACTGGCGTGCGAGCGCGATTATTCCGCGTGCCCGTCAGGCCCTGGCCGGGTAATCCCGCGGCGCCCGCCGCCGCGCGACCCGCGCCAGGGTGGGCGGATTTGGGCGACGGCGTTCATTGCGAGGCGAAGACACCGGGCATATGATGATTTGGCACGTCAGACAGAGCGCAACCGTTGCAGGCACCCTTGGGTTTCGCAGGTCGGGGCGCGGGCCGTCGCCGCCATTGCTCCGCCGCGCGGTGCGATGGCTTATTTGCGCAGGGTCCAGGGGGGGCTCTGCGACTCCAGTCGTTTGAAATTCAGTTCAATTGCAGCGCGCTTGCTTTACTGGCGTGGCTCGCAGCGGGCTTCCGATGGCGCAGGGGGCATGGCACAACGCGAAAAGATGGACCTCGCGGCGAGGTGCGCTGCCCTGCGCAATAGCGACCGCGCTACGCGCCGAGCGATGTTGCGGTCCCCGCGCAGGTGCGGGGCAATCTTCCCTTGCGCAGGTATTGTCAGCGATCCCGAGAGGCGCGTCTGCCCGCGCGTTTCTCAGCGCAGCGCGGTCCCAGGTGCTCGCCCTACTGATTATTCAGCTCCGTGTCCCTCGTCGTGGTCTTTGGACTCCGACGGCGGTTGCTTGGCTCCAGCAGGGTACACTGGCCCTTGCGTCCGTCGCAAAAGGTCAGCGCAGTCGCTCGACCGCGCCGTCGGCGCAGCCGCGCGCGCGCGCGGGCGCATTGAAGTTCGCCTCGGAAATTTCAGAGCGCGCGTCAGCGTGACAGGTTTTCCGGTTTTACCAGGATGGAGAAATCTACATGGGGTTCGGCGCGCGAGCCATGGTTCCCCGCGCGCGCGGCCCCAACATCGCAGCTGTCCAATGTGGCGCGGGGTGGCCTGACAAAAATTAGCCGGCGCGCGCGCGCGAGCACCCTGCCCCCTCTTTAGAGCAGCGCTTCTTCCGAAAAGTCCCAGGTGCGCTTTGCGTTGCGAGCAGCTGCGTCGGAGTGCTTCGTCGCTCCGTGCTCTCCCGCGCCCCCGGCCCCGTCGTCTGCAGGAGTCTCATCGACGTCGCTTGGGCAGCGCGGAGGAATCGGAACGGGCCCCATCTGCGATTCGCCCGATTTGCGAATATGCGTGCCATGTTTGTGCTTGTGGCTTGCATGACTTGCAGCGCGGCCGCTGTCGCAGATTCGCGGCGCCCCTGGCCCTCGCGTCGCGGCGCGCAGGGGCGCGCGTGCAGTTGCGGACAGGCGCGCGTCTGAGGCGCCGCGGGGGGGGGGAAGCGCCTGTGCTCGAAGTGAGCTTGGCGGGCCAGCGCCGGCAGGGCGCTGGCGGCGCGTCTCGACGCGGCACGGCCAGGACGCCCCGGCCGCGCCCTATCCAGAAATAGCCGATCTCATAAGGCGCAGCGCGTCGCACGATGGAAGACGCGCGACGCCAACCAGCCTGCAGTTCACTTGAAGAGGACAGGCGGGCCGTCGAAGCGGCGCGCTCCCGCGGCGCGCGCGCGCCGGGGCGCCGAGCCCGCCGTCTCATCGGCAGGCCGGCATGCGCAGCGTCCGCAGCAATTTTTCGCACGCGTTCGAAATCGCGCAAGATTTGATCGACAGCGCGGTCGCGGAGTTGGCGCGGCGCTCGGGGAATTCTTCTGCGCAGAGGGCGCTCGCTACGAGGCGCGGCCCGCTTGCCGACGCAACGACAGCGCGCGTCGTCGGTTGCCGCGGCCGCCGAAGGCCGTGGGAAGTTGCGCAGAGGCGCGGACCCTTGGCGATGGCTTGCGCCGCCAGATCGGTTGCGGCGTTTTTCCTGCAGCCGAGAAAATATATCTTTCCTATCGCGTCGGGTCGGCCGCGCGGCGGGCGCTGCCCCTGCGGTGAAAATGAACGTGGCCCCGCGTCGGCCGGCGGACGCAGCGATACTTCGAGCGATTTCAGACATCGAGCAGCGCCGGAACTTGGAGGGCGCGCGGCGCATGGAGCAGGTCGCCCGCCGCCATCGCATCCCCGTCGCCGCGCGCGGAAGACGCGCCAGACGCCCGATTTGGCGAAGGCGGCTTCTGAGATGGCTGGCGTGACGCAACCCGTCTTGGATGCGCTGCGCGCTGGGCCCGGCGCAGATGGCAGCGCCGTGCCAGCGGGCGGCCTCCGTCGAGCCGCGTTCAGCGACAGCGCCGCGGGGTTTGTCGATTTTGCTCGGCAAGGTAACGGACCGCAGGTAGCGCGCCTGGGCCGCTCGCCCGGGGCGCCACGTTTGCGCGGCAAGGGTGGCGTTCGAGCAATTCCCCCCGCGGCGCCGTTCCCGACGATGGCTTCCTTCGTCCAGGCGAAAGTCGCGCGCCCGCGCCGGCGCCGGCGCTGCGCTTGCTGCCCCAGTCAATGGAAAGACGGCGCGATGCTTCCGAGCAGCGGGATCCCAGCGCGAACCGTTGAGTTGCGCGGGGGGCGGGCGCCGCTGCTGCGACGGGCCCGCCAGGGCGACATCGCCTTGCGCCGCGCTGGAGGAGAGCGCCCAGACTTTGCGCATGGAAGCCGCGCTCGCCAAGGCCGAGGGATTCCCGCTGAAGTCACGGGTCCGCTGGCGGCGCTGGCTGCACGGCGCGCGCCAAGGCAGAGGTGGGCATGGTTCGGGAGGCGGTCGCCAGAGGCCGCTGACGCTGCCGCGCGACGCTGCGCTGCGCGGTCGCACGCGGCCCAGCGGCCGCAACGGCGCGCTTGCTGCGGCGGCCGCGCCGACGGCGAGGCGACGCGGCCGGGGGTGCGATGGAGAGCGTTTGATTCATGGCGCGGCAGTTTTGGGCCACACGCGCGCGGCGCGCCCCTGGGGCTTGCCCGCGGAAGTTCGCCGGGACGGCGCGGCGCAGCTCGCGGGGCGAATCGCTCGGCTTTCGCTTCTCCCGCGCGGCCTGAGCGCTGGCGGGCCGCGCACGCAACGCCCCCCCCCCCTCGTCGCCCTCGCCCGTCGTGGCCAGCGCCCCCGCCCCGCCTGGGCGGACCTAGAGCCGCCGCCCTGGTGCCATCGCTGCGCAGCGGCCCGGCCTGGGCGGGCCGATGCGGGCCTCCTCGCGGGCCGGCCCGGCGCGCGGCCTTGCCGTGCTCGAGGCCTGGTGGGCGGTGCATTTGGGGCCGGGGCGAGGGGCAGCAGCCGGCGGAGAAACGAGCGGAGTTTCGCCGAGGCCCCCGCCACAGAGACCAAGGAGAGGTCGCGACTGGGCGAGGCGCGCCGCGGAGCGGGGCTGCCGCCCGAAGGCGCGCGCGAGCAAATAACTAACTCAGAGCGCGCGCCGCGTCCCCCGCCCCGCCCCGCCCCCAGTAGCGATCGCAGTCAACTCGCGCGCATTTGTTGGCGCGCAGACCGCGCGAGCGGCTGGGCGCGCGCGCGCGTTTGATCTGCGCGGCGCGACGGGTGCTCGCGGCGGGGCCAGCGCCAACGCAGCCGACGCCTGGCGCTCTCCGCCCCGCCTCGCCTGGGCAGGAGGGGCGAGGGCAGGTGCGACGGCGCCCGCGCGGGCTCGCGACGACTCAGCTCGCGAAGCGGGGGGGGGGCGCGGGAAAGCAAGCGCGCGAGCATCCCCGGCGCCTTCACTTGTCATGTTTTTTGTTTTTGTTGGGTTGCGCTCGCCGCGCGTGGGACTTGCAGTTCTGGCGTGGCGCGCCGCAGCTTCCTCAAGAAGCGCGATGGGCGACTGCGCTTCCGACGCGGGCGTCGGCAGGACCACGTGCCCCGCCGCCCTGGTTCAAGCGATTCGAGGGCGCGCGGCGCGCGGGAGATTCGCGCGGCTGGGCTCGCAGCGGCTGGCGCGATGCAGCGCGTCTTTTTCGCTGTATCCGCGAGCGCTGCCATAGCCAGCGCCGCTCGATCATTTCGCGCCGTCGCAGCCGGCCGGGCAAGCGCGCCGCCGGATCGACGCGCGGCCGGCGACGCGCGCGTCGTCAGGCGAGCGGGCCAGCGCTTCCGGCACGAGCGGCGTCGCCGCTGACGACGCAGAGTTCGAGTTGACCCTGCGCGCGCCCGGCGCGGAAGGACTCCCGCGAGGCGGCGCGCGATCGTCGTCGCTGGCGCCGCAGAAGAGTCGACGGAGCAGGTTCTGGCTTCCTTGCGCGAATTGGCGGAGGACGCGCGGCCCGTCTAGCTGCGACCCCCCCGGCGCAGCGCGGCCGCAGCGCGAACGCGCCGTGCGCGACGCTGCTGACGCGGGAATCCGCGACGACAAGGGCGCGCTGTTTGAGGCAGACCCCTGCTTCGCGCGCGCGCAGCCCGACTCGAGCCGGACGCGCGCGCGGCGCAGGCGGCGCGCGAGGCTGTCCGGCGAGGCGTTGCCCCTCAGCGCCGCGCGCTCGCGTCGTTCCGCGCCCCGACCCAGCGGGAAACAATGCGATCGTCGATCTTCAGTGCGGCGGCGCGCGCCCCCCCCGCCGCCTGCCGATAGCGCGGCGGCCTCGGCTGTTCCATGCGTCTCGCGCTTCAGTTGGAGCCGATTATGGGGGGGGGTCGTCGGCGTTTGTGCGGATCACTCTTCATTGGGTCCTCCGCGGGAATGCGAATGGAGCTGTTCTCCCCCGTCGCGCGCCTTCCGCGCGTTCGCCGTTTGCCCGACTCCGCGGAGTCCGTGTTCGGCTTTGGCCGCGCCCCCAGTTCAGAACGTCGCTCGGACCCCAGGGTTGGCCGCGTCTTCGGCGCTCGGATTTCTGCGTGGCAAGCGGCGCTCTGCCGCGCGCTCCTTTGCTCTTTGCTTGACGAGCGCTTCGCGCTCGTCGGCGTAATTGCAGACGGCGCGTGCGTTCGCAGGCGAGTGGTGCAATCCTCGGCAGTGCAGGCGCCGTGTCCGCGGGCGCCAGGCTCGAGGTGCCTCGCCGCTGCATCTGCAGCGCGGGGAATGATTTGCAGGCTGCCAAGTTTGCTTGCTTCAGGGCGCCCGCCAGAGCGGGCGGCGCCACGCGCCCGACGTAGAGCGCGTCGCCCTGCCGCCGATGAAGCGCAGCTCGTTTGCGCGACGCAGTGCGCGACTTTGCCGCGCTGTGTCTCGCGCGGCAGCGGCGACGGCGACGACGAACCTCGCGCCGTCAGCGCGCGATTAGAGTTCAAGCGCGCAGCCCGCCCGGCCGCTTTCATTGCATGTGCTTTGAAATCAACGCGCGCGCACGCGCGCATATATACAGTTATAAATTATCATATATATATATATATACATGTATATATACACACATGTAGTTACTCATGTATACATATACACATGCGCGCAGAAGTACGCATTCCCAAACAGTGCTTGCAATTAGGGCGGTTCGTTTCTTTCCTAAGGAACTGGGCTCCGTTGTCGGGTCCGCCGCCCTGCGGTCGCCGTCGCCGCTTCGTCGCCGCCTGGCGTCTGGCCCCGTTGTCGGGCCCGCCGCCTCGCGGTCGCCGCCGCCGCCCCGCCGCCTCGCGCGCGCGGGCGACGCGGCGGCGCCGCGCCCGTCGCGCCCGACGCGCCCGCCCCGCCCGCCCGCCCAACCCGTCGTCGTTTGCCAGCGACGAGTTCTGGCGGGGGGGTCCAACATGTTTCGTTGCTTCGCCAGCTCGATGTACCCCCTGGAAGCAATCCAAGGCCTGCGAACTTGCAGCCCGCCTGCTCGCGCGACGTGGCATGTCGTTCCCCACGCGCGTGGATTCGCGCTTCCCCGCTTTCGCTTACTCGAACAATCGCTCTCGCGCGCCAGCGCGGCGCCGCGCGCGCGGCGCTTCTCGCGCTTGGAGCCGAGCGCCCGCCGCGCGCTTGCCGCCAGAGGGTTGGGATCTCCATCTCTCCGAGGCGCGCTGCTCGCCGGGTCCGCCCGCGTCGCCGCGGCGCGCGAGGGGGGCGCGGGTGCTCGCCGCGGCGAGCTCGCGGCCAGAGTGAATCGCCAAGCCGCGACGCTGGCCGCCGATGGGCGTGATGAGCGCTCCGCTGCAGCATTCTGTCTGCGCGCTAGCATGTCTCGCGATTGCGGCGTCGACGGCGCCGCCGCGCACTGCGGTCGCGCGTTGGCTCGCTGGCCCGCGCGCGCGCGCGACGCGACTCGCGCGTTGCCCGGCGGCCCTGGCGCTGGGCAAGCGCCGCGGCGCCGCCTCGGAGGATGTCCGCGCGGCGAATGGGCTCGCAGAGCTGCTTCACGCGGCGGGGAAGGGGGGGGGACCGTCTGCGCCCGCCTCGGCGAGCGGGCGCGCAGCCGCGGAATCAGGCCTTCCCAGACGCCCCAGATGCGTCAATCCGCGTTAGCGCCGACATTGGCATGGAGCGCGCAGCAGCGAAAGAAAAAGTGACCTTGCGCGAACTGGCGCGCGAGCGCGATTATTCCGCGTGCCCGTCAGGCCCTGGCCGGGTAATCCCGCGGCGCCCGCCGCCGCGCGACCCGCGCCAGGGTGGGCTGATTTGGGCGACGGCGTTCATTGCGAGGCGAAGACACCGGGCATATGATGATTTGGCACGTCAGACAGAGCGCAACCGTTGCTGGCACCCTTGGGTTTCGCAGGTCGGGGCGCGGGCGTCGCCGCCATTGCCCGCCGCGCGGTGCGATGGCTATGCGCAGCAGGCTCTTGCGACTCAGTCGGTGAATTTGGTTCCATGCGGCGCGCTGCGAGACGCGCGGCAGCGGGCTTTCCGATGGCGCAGGGGGCATGGCACCACGCGAAAAGATGGACCTCGCGGCGAGGTGCGCTGCCCTGCGCAATGGCGACCGCGCTACGCGCCGAGCGATGTTGCGGTCCACGCGCAGGTACGGGGCAATCTTCCCTTGCGCAGGTATTGTCAGCGATCCCGAGAGGCGCGTCTGCCCGCGCGTTTCTCAGCGCAGCGCGGTCCCAGGTGCTCGCCCTACTGATTATTCTGCTCCGTGTCCCTCGTCGTGGTCATTGGACTCCGACGGCGGTTGCTTGGCTCCAGCAGGGTACACTGGCCCTTGCGTCCGTCGCAAAAGGTCAGCGCAGTCGCTCGACCGCGCCGTCGGCGCGGCCGCGCGCGCGCGCGGGCGCAATGAAGATCGCCTCGGAAATGTCAGGGCGCGCGTCAGCGTGACAGGTTTTCCGGTTTTACCAGGATGGAGAAATCTACATGGGGTCGGCGCGCGAGCCATGGATGTTCCCCGCGGCGCGCGCGCCCAGAATCGCAGCTGTTCCAATGTGGCGCGGGGGGGCTGACAAAAATTAGACGGCGCTCGCGCGCGACGGCGCTCTCCCCCCCCCGTGTCGCGCGCGCGCGAGCACCCTGCCCCCTCTTTAGAGCAGCGCTTCTTCCGAAAAGTCCCAGGTGCGCTTTGCATTGCGAGCAGCTGCGTCGGAGTGCTTCGTCGCTCCGTGCTCTCCCGCGCCCCCTTCCCCATACCGCCCCCCTTTCCGCCGCCCCCGGCCCCGTTCGTCTGCGGAGTCTCATCGGACGTCGCTTGGGCAGCGCGGAGAACTCGGAACGGGCCCCCACTCGCGATTCGCCCGATTTGCGAATATGCTTGCCATGGTTGTGCTTGTGGCTTGCATGACTTGCAGCGCGGCCGCTGTCGCAGATTCGCGGCGCCCCTGGCCCTCGCGTCGCGGCGCGCAGGGGCGCGCGTGCAGTTGCGGACAGGCGCGCGTCTGAGGCGCCGCGGGGGGGGGAAGCGCCTGTGCTCGAAGTGAGCTTGGCGGGCCAGCGCCGGCAGGGCGCTGGCGGCGCGTCTCGACGCGGCACGGCCAGGACGCCCCGGCCGCGCCTTATCCAGAAATAGCCGATCGCATAAGGCGCAGCGCGTCGCACGATGGAAGACGCGCGACGCCAACCAGCCTGCAGTTCACTTGAAGAGGACAGGCGGGCCGTCGAAGCGGCGCGCCCCGCGGCGCGGCGCGCCGGGGAGCCGAGCCCGCCGTCTCAGCGGCAGGCCGGCATGCGCAGCCTCCGCAGGCAATTTTTCGCACGCGGTCAAATCGCGCAAGATTTGAGCGACAGCGCGTCGCGGAGTTGGCGCGGCGCGTCGGGGAATTTCTTATGCGCAGAGGGCGTCGCTACGAGGCGCGGCCCGCTTGCCGACGCAACGACAGCGCGCGTCGTCGGTTGCCGCGGCCGCCGAAGGCCGTGGGAAGTTGCGCAGAGGCGCGGACCCTTGGCGATGGCTTGCGCCGCCAGATCGGTTGCGGCGTTTTTCCTACAGCCGAGAAAATATATCTTTCCTATCGCGTCGGGTCGGCCGCGCGGCGGGCGCTGCCCCTGCGGTGAAATTGAACGTGGCCCCGCGTCGGCCGGCAGACGCAGCGATACTTCGAGCGATTTCAGACATCGAGCAGCGCCGGAACTTGGAGGGCGCGCGGCGCATGGAGCAGGTCGCACGCCGCCATCGCATCCCCGTCGCCGCGCGCGGAAGACGCGCCAGACGCCCGATTTGGCGAAGGCGGCTTCTGAGATGGCCGGCGTGACGCAAACCGTCTTGGATGCGCTGCGCGCTGGGCCCGCCGCAGATGGCAGCGCCGTGCCAGCGGGCGGCCTCCGTCGAGCCGCGTTCAGCGACAGCGCCGCGGGGTTTGTTGAAATTGCTCGGCAAGGTAACGGACCGCAGGTAGCGCGCCTGGGCCGCTCGCCCGGGGCGCCACGTTTGCGCGGCAAGGGTGGCGTTCGAGCAATTCCCCCCGCGGTGCCGTTCCCGACGATGGCTTCCCTCGTCCAGGCGAAAGTCGCGCGCCCGCGCCGGCGCCGGCGCTGCGCTTGCTGCCCCAATGGAAAGACTGCGCGATGCTTCCGAGCAGCTGGATCCCAGCGCGAACCGTTGAGTGGCGCGGGGGGCGGGCGCCGCTGCTGCGACGGGCCCGCCAGGGCGACATGCTTTCGCCGTGCTGGAGGAGAGCGACAGGATCTGCGCATGGAAAGCCGCGCTCGCAAGGCCGAGGGATTCCCCGCTGAAGTCACGGGTCCGCTGGCGGCGCTGGCTGCGCGGCGCGCGCCAAGGCAGAGGTGGGCATGGTTCGGGAGGCGGTCGCCAGAGGCCGCTGACGCCGCCGCGCGACGCTGCGCTGCGCGGTCGCACGCGGCTCAGCGGCCGCAACGGCGCGCTTGCTGCGGCGGCCGCGCCGACGGCGAGGCGACGCGGGCGGGGGGGCGAGGGAGAGCGATTGATTCATGGCGCGGCAGTTTTGGGCCACACGCGCGCGGCGCGCCCCTGGGGCTTGCCCGCGGAAGTTCGCCGGGACGGCGCGGCGCAGCTCGCGGGGCGAATCGCTTGGCTTTCGCTTCTCCCGCGCGGCCTCAGCGCTGGCGGGCCGCGCACGCAACGCCCCCCCCCTCGTCGCCCTCGCCAGTCGTGGCCAGCGCCCCCGCCCCGCCTGGGCGGACCTAGAGCCG